CCCCCGACACAGCACCCGCCCACCCCTGCTGCAGACGTACAAGCAGCAAGGGAACACAGTGCTGAAGCTGGGGGACACAGTGATCCCCTACCATGAGGACTTCAAGATGTACATCACCACCAAGCTACCCAACCCCCACTACACGCCTGAACTCGCCACCAAGCTCACCCTCATCAACTTCACCCTGTCGCCCAGGTGAGCCCACGCCAGGTCTCTCTGCACAGCCTGGCCCTCCACCTGCCCGGTGGCCGGGGGTCAGCAGGCTCTCCCCCACTTGGAGGTTCTCCTGGCCTGCTCCTGGCCACCCACCCCTTGTGAGCCCTGACGTCCCAGGTCCTTCTGGCCCCTTGACCAGCTCCCCATACCTGCCACCACCCCCAGCAGACATCCTGGGTCCCCTCTGCCTCCTTGCCAGCACAGCCCACATCCCCCGGGCACCCTGCCTGAGTCTGACCCATGTTGGACACCCACCCAGAGTCCGGGCCCCTCGGGCCTGCTCCCTGCTAAGGCCTCCTGGCTAGGAGACAAGGGGTCCCTGAAAGCCCGTTTCTACCAGCCATGCAGGCTCCTCCTGCTCAGGACCTGGGCCTCCTGGGCCACCCCACCCCAGCTCCCACCAGGCCGCCAGTGTCCACCCTGCACCGCCACCTGAGGCTTCCTTGGGAGCTGTCCCCTGCCCCCGGGGCAGGTGTGTTACCAGCCTCCAGGCTGTCATAGACAAGGATGCTGGGCTCCTGGGGCCCGGGTGCTGGAGGGTTAGGTGAGCAGGCTCCAGGCTGGCCCTCCTGGGCCCTGAGGGTTGGACGCAGTGTGCCCGCCCTGCAGCGGCCTCGAGGACCAGCTCCTGGGCCAGGTGGTGGCAGAGGAGCGGCCCGACCTGGAGGAGGCCAAGAACCAGCTGATCGTCAGCAACGCCAAGATGCGCCAGGAGCTGAAGGACATCGAGGACCAGATCCTGTTCCGGCTGAGCTCCTCCGAGGGCAACCCCGTGGACGATGTGGAGCTAATCAAGGTGTTGGAGGCCTCCAAGATGAAGGCCGCGGAGATCCAGGTCAGCTGCCCGCCCCGGCCAGCCCTCTGCCCCGGCCAGCCCAGCCTCCCTGGGCTGACGGGCCCACCCCGCGCCAGGCCAAGGTGCGGATCGCAGAGCAGACGGAGAAGGACATCGACCTCACGCGCATGGAGTACGTCCCTGTGGCGGTGCGCACACAGCTGCTCTTCTTCTGCGTGTCCGACCTGGCCAACGTGGACCCCATGTACCAGTACTCCCTCGAGTGGTTCCTCAGCATCTTCCTCTCGGGCATCGCCAACTCCGAGCGTGCAGGTAGACCCCCCCCCACCCAGCCGCCTGCCCCTTTCCCTCCTCCCACCCATGTCCACTCCGGGCACTGCTCTCCTGCCCCGCAGACACCCTGAAGAAGCGCATCGCCAACATCAACCGCTACCTGACCTACAGCCTCTACAGCAACGTCTGCCGCAGCCTCTTTGAGAAGCACAAGCTGATGTTCGCCTTCCTACTGTGCGTCCGCATCATGATGAACGAGGGCAAGATCGACCAGGTGCTAGGGCAGAGGGGGCGTGGCCCACGCAGGGCCTGGCTGGGAGTACAGGTGGAAAGATCAGGGGCAGGGCAGAGGCCCGGGGCAGCACCGTCCCAGGAGGCCCTGTGGGCATAGGCCAGCTAGGGCTGTGGCCAAGCTTTGCCCTGCACTGCCCGCTCCTGTCGGCCCCAAACTCACACTCTCAGTAGGGGTGGGGGGGCCTGGGCATTCCTGCACATGCTAGAAAGCCCTGCCCGGACAGGGAGACTAGCTGGCTGCCGGTCTGCAGCCCTAACTGTGCACCAAGCATGCTTGATGAAGCGGACAGAGGGGCAGCAAAACAGAGGGCGGCCCCAGGTTGAGACTGAGCAGTGGTAGGAGGGGCAGGGCCTAACAGCCACTGTGGCTCCGGGACTACACCGGAGAGGCCGGGTCCCCTACCTCGGTGCACAGCCAGGAGAGGCGGCGTGGGCAACAGCAGCCCAGACCCGGCTCCCAGACCTTGGGTGCACAATCCCTACAGTGAGGATAGCAGGAGCGTCCCTGCTGGGCGGGGTGCCTGGACACTAGCCTCCCTACCCCGGCCCCTGCCAGGGTGAGTGGCGCCACCTCCTGTCCGGCGGCCCCATCCAGACCGTGTTGGAGAACCCTGCCATGGACTGGCTGTCCGAGCGGGCCTGGCGGGACATCCTGGCACTCTCGAACCTGCCCACCTTCTCCCTCTTCGCCACCGACTTCGTGAAGCACCTGTCCCATTTCCGGGCCATCTTTGACAGCCCCGAGCCCCACCGGTGAGCCGGCCCAGGGCAGGGTGGGCACAGCGAGAGCATGACTCAGCCCCTGCCCACAGCCTGGCCCTTCTGCCCACCCCACCTCGTGGCCCAGGGAGTCCCACTTCCTCCCCCGCCCAGCCAGCTGGCAGCATCCCTGTGGACAGCGGCCTCGCCCAGGCCCGCTCTCAGGGGACACGGGCACTGTTGCAGGGAGCCCTTGCCCGGCATCTGGGACCGGTACCTGGACCAGTTCCAGAAGCTGCTGGTGCTCCGCTGCCTCCGTGGGGACAAGGTCACCGATGCTATGCAGGACTTTGTGGCCAGCCACCTAGAGCCCCGCTTCATCGAGCCGCAGGCCAGTGCTGGTCCCCAGGCCCCCACCCCACCCACTGCGCAGCTGCACTGAGCAAGGCCAGGGCACCGAGCCTGCCCCCTGCCCCCAAGGTCCCGGGAGGTTCCGGGCCCCAGCTGGCAGCCTCCCCAGGAGCCCCCCTGCCTGGGCCACCCAGGTCCCAGCATGCCCGTGCCCTCGCAGACGGCCAACCTGTCGGTGGTGTTCAAGGACTCCAGCGCCACCACGCCCCTCATCTTCGTGCTGTCGCCTGGCACCGACCCGGCCGCCGACCTCTACAAGTTTGCTGAGGAGATGAAGTTCGCCAAGAAGCTCTCTGCCATCTCCCTGGGCCAGGGGCAGGTCAGGGGCAGTCCTGAGGGCAGGGGCAACTAGGCGGGGCAGCCCGCTGGTCCCCGACTCTGCAGTGCGCCCCCTCCTCACAGGGCCCTCGTGCAGAAGCCATGATGCGCAGCTCCATCGAGCGGGGCAAGTGGGTCTTCTTCCAGAACTGCCACCTGGCCCCCAGCTGGATGCCAGCCCTGGAACGGCTCATCGAGAACACCAACCCCGACAAGGTGTGCGGCGCTCGGGCCCTCCTGCCGCCCTGCCCTTGGCCGGGCCTGCTCAGATTCCGGGATGCTCCACCGGCTCGCTGCAGCCTGCCCCCACCGGGGCCGGCTCCCGGTGGTGTCGGGGAGGGGGAACCTGGCGTGGGTGCCCGCACACGCTCATGCGCAGCCCGGCCGCCAGGTGCACCGGGACTTCCGCCTGTGGCTCACCAGCCTGCCCAGCAACAAGTTCCCAGTGTCCATCCTGCAGAACGGCTCCAAGATGACCATCGAGCCGCCCCGCGGCGTCAAGGCCAACCTGCTGAAGTCCTACAACAGCCTCAGCGACGACTTCCTCAACTCCTGCCAGAAGGTGCGGCCGCGGGTCGCCCCTCGCCCGGCCGGGGGTGGGCTGCCCGGCCCGGCCCGCCCACAGCCCGCCTGCCCCTCCCCCGCCCCCACCCAGACGGCCGAGTTCAAGTCGCTGCTGCTGTCGCTGTGCCTGTTCCACGGGAACGCGCTGGAGCGCCGCAAGTTCGGGCCCCTGGGCTTCAACATCCCCTACGAGTTCACGGACGGGGACCTGCGCATCTGCATCAGCCA